AAGTTTGTATGGAAGGTATAGGCATTGAACCAATTATTATGGGATGTTGCTAAGTGATTTTAAAGCACTGAAAGACTTTTGTCTAATAAATTAATAGTACTAGATAGGATTTCTTGCCAAGAAAACTATCATAAAATGGTTTTAACTGCTACCTAAAGGGCAAGGCTGATTATGATGGATAGTTTCAAAAAAGCTGTTGTTGGCTTTGAAGCTAACTTTTTTCAAATCCCTAGGGACCAAGATTCTTTTTTGTTCCGTTCATTTTTGTATAATTGCCTTAGTGCATAAATTTGCTTATATAAGTGCGCATTAGTGGTTAAATACGGCAGTGGTCACGCGATTAGGAACTTGTAAACAGGCGTTGTCGTAGCAACCGCGTAATCCGACTAAAATGCAGCCATTTCACAGATGGCCATCAAACTGTGAGGGTCTTCCTTTTTAAAGACTTGCGTACCTGGTCGCCTTAATGGACTTATTATAGATGGCACAGAATCGATCCATCGTTGTCACTCCGAGAGGCGGAGGAATAGCATTTGTAAAAGTGAGATTTAAAAAATCAATTACTACTTTGATCTTTTCCATTGTGATCATCAAACTTGGAATTTTGATGACTCTTAAGAAGGTTTATGTTAAGTATGTTGCACGGGCTTGCATTCAGTTTTATTGCACTGAGGTTTACCAAGTTTAAGTGCGGTTTAATATACATGGGTTTTATTTTTGAGGATATAATTTGATGAAATAATCTATAATGACAAGTTCTGTTATAAAGCATTTTTTCTGAAATTAATAAGAAAGTTCCTAGCTCCCTTAAAATTCTAAAATTTTTGTACTTGATTTTATTTTAATACTAGTTTCTAAATTCGAACTATTTTGAACCTTAAGATTTCAGGCCTAATTTTAATGATTCTATAGTTAAGTTGTTCTCTTTATTTATTTTTTAAGACTTCAAATTTAATTTTACGGAATCTGCTGTATCAGGTTATGAAGTTGGTATTAAAATTTCATGACGTTTCTGTTTGTTCCAAGATTCACAGGATTACTCTGTTCATGGTGTCTGTTGCGTGTGTTTGATCAGTTCATTTTTGACAGACCACTCTGAAATTAAAACCCAGCATTCCGATAGCTGCTAGACTTGAATCCGATCCTAATCATTTTGGAAACAATAAGAAGACCTAGATGACAATTAGATTGACAGCTATAATCTGTATTCTGCAAAACAATGAGAAAATTTCAATCTCCTTCCCATGAATTTTTACAGTGTGACCATGAGAGAATTTGACCATTTTACAGAGAATATTCATTTTTGCTGTTATGCCACTGGATTATAACACAGGCAATTTTCCTAACCGCAAGGAATGAAAATTAAATGTTCTCATACTCGAGTGCCAATAAGAAGACAAGTTTAAATTTCAGAGCCTGGATAATACTGGAGAAATGGGTGAATGTTTAATAAAATCCCTACAATGTTACAGTCATTGAACTGCTCCCATTTCTATTTCCATCTAGTATTATTTTGAAGAATTTTACTGCCATAGCTCAGAAATCAATCTGATTCACGGTAATATGTCGGCTTCTTTGTAATGTTCGCACATCAGAGAGATAATAGACTTATTATCTCGGAGGACAAGTGCTCCTTATCCCAAATAGTCTTTAGAGCAGGTGCTTAGGTACCATTATATATTTCGCGACCTCCTGATTATCTTTTTGAAAACGCACCATGACCTAGAATATTTGGAACATTATTTAGTCTATAAGGTATTTCTCCAGCCTTCTTGGCACGCCTTCGTGGTGTGGTGGCCTGCACGTTGGGCGCGTCTTCCAGAGATCCGTGGTTGGATACCCGGCGAGGGCTTTGCTCATTTTTCAGCACTCCTGCTTTAAAAAATAACCTAATGACTCTACAGAGAGGCCCGAACTAAAAAGGATGTTGGATGATGATTCTCCACACCCAGAATTTGGCGACTGAGTCCTCTAAAACCCCAGACGCCCTTTAAAAGGGGGAGTATATAAGGTATTTCTCCCGCGTTCTTCGTATGCCTTCGTAGTGTCGTGGTCTGCACGTTGGGTGCGTATTCCAGTATGTATGCTTGTATGCTTCCAAAAAATACCTCTACATGTCTACTCTTTTCTCTCACAAGCGAAATTATTTTCTCCATAAATGATATGTCCATTTATCTAAATGCTGATAAGAAATTAATGATGAAGCTCAAAATGACGTAGATTAAAGCTGCGCTCATTCAAAACGAAATCAAATTGCCACAAAAATTCCAAATTTAAAATTTTTACTACCTACTTATCAAAATTTCCCCCTTTTTTATACTATTTTTTTTTTTTTTTTTTTATTTGAATATATCGGGAAAAAAACTTCCTATGTATTTGCGTTTGAATTATTCATTGCAAACTCAGATTTATTTATTAGAAACTTATTTTTATAATTCTTATGAATTAAGCATGCCCATAATCTTATAAAATGCTTTAATTTCTTTCCCTTAATAGTTACAACGATACTGTATTCTAAGCTTTGATATTTTTATAATATTATCCTCTTTTTTTATTTACAATGTTTTACATGGTTTCATTTTTTGAAAATTCGAATACAGTACTAATCCAAATTGCCGTGCTCTGAGTTTGTTCTGTACCTTCAGGCCGGAAAAATGTATTGAAGTACGCAATCAACATTAAATTGCACAACTTTTCAATTTGCTTGAAAATTTTGAAAATTATTTAATCGTCCTTTTGAAACCTATTTTTTTAATGATTTACCAATTGCATTGATAAAATAATATCTCTTTAGAAAAATTGTTACCTTTAAATTAAATTGTTATTAGTTTATTTTAATCTAAATTTGGTAAATTCAGCTATAAAATTCTTTTCCCTTTTTTATCCTAAATTTTACAGCAGAATTTTTAAATTTTTTACATGATGTGTGCTTTTTAAGTAGTGTTATATGTGCTCAAAATATAACATATAAAATTTATAAATCAAATGCAAGTCTTGCAAACATATAACACCTATCAAAATTTGCTAAAATTTTTAAATAACAAGCATTTTTAATTAAAAGAAAGTATGTTTTATTTATTGAAATTTTATTTAAATTTTGAATTACATTATTACTTCCTTGCAGGAAGTAAAGGAAGTATTGTAATCACGAAAAATTCCGGGTATCATATTTCAACTAAAATATGCATTTTGACCACTATTGAATGCAATTTAATGATGTTTTTCCATCCTGTACCTGTACATAAGGACAGAATAAAAGACTCTTTTTCCCAAAACGAATTATAAAACTGATTTAAAATGGATTCAGAAGAGACTTTTTCGTGGCGTCTGTAACGTATGTATGTATGTACAATATCTCACGTAACTCAAAAACGAGTAGCCTCAAAAAGTTGAAATTTCGTGTATAGAACTGCTATAATAAGTAGTTGCGCGCCTTCTGTTTTTGGTTGCAGGGCGTATCGAAAGTATATATATATATATATTGAATGAGCTAAAATTCATTTAATTCGAAAACAAGTTTTTCTAATACTTGCGCAATAGCTGCAAAGTAAGATAATAATAATTTATTTGCTAAAGAAATATTGATTATATTATCTCCTATTATAAATTTAGTAGAATAAACCCACTCTATTACTCGGCTCAGTGAGCTCAGTTTTTTTTATTCTTATATGTTGATAAATTGCGCATCTTTTGCTTTAAAAATGATTGAATTCTGTTGTTCTTATCTTTCGGTTAATGTTTTTATGCCTTTAGTTAATCTGCATGCACTAGTTGTAGAATTATCAATAATTTAAGAGTTGTTTAAGGGCGGCTAAGCCTAATTTTCGTTTCCCATAGCAGCCGTATTTGTTTACATTTGAAACCCGGCAGAATAGTGAATTCAGTTTCTGCACCTTCAGTGTCTTTTTGCCTTGTGGGACCAAAATTAAACTTTCATTTTAGTGCACGGAAAAATCTGCCTTGTTGCCTGAGGTCCGAACTGCTTGTTTTTGCGCACAAATTATAATTTAATTGTAATTTTTTTTATTTTTGTTTTAAATGTATTTGGTGTTTTATTTTTTTCTATATTTTTCAATTTTTACTGAAGATATTTTGAGGTTTTATGTATTTTTGCCTTGTCGCGAACTGAGAACAGAATTAATTGAATGAGAAATATAATGAAATGCGAGGGAATAAGTTTAAATGAAATGAAGCAAAAAAATACGTATAATTTAATATTCCGTATAAAGAAGTCATGTGGTGTACACATCAGATGTTTTTTAATTTTACAAGTCAGAAAAATGCTTCGACTTTTATAATATCGTTTATAAAAATGAATTGTTATTTGTCCTTCACATTTAAGGTACACTTCAAATCGATTCAAATTACCTGGATTTCAATAAAAAATTGTTTCGAAAAATTTATATCTTTATCGATAATTATGTAAATATTTTCATTTTATTCAGGGACAGAACTCATGAAGATTCAAGTTATCGACAGAATAAGTTTTCTGTTCCATGAATTTCAAAAAACTGATATATATATATATATATAATATGTACTATCATCATAAATTTTCCTTACCGTAGTAAAATTGTATTATTTTAATACAAACTTCTTTACGGATTTTAGTTTTAACTTAAACTGAAACTTTTAAATTACATATTTTACATTCACATGGAAAGAGATTTCATTTCAAATGAAAAGTGGAATGCTTTTAATATTAAAGTACGTTTCTTTCAGTTAGATTTGAAAGTTAACTTTCTAAAACTGTCAGCTGTTTTTAAAGGTATTGTTCTCTTAAATTTTACATATGTATAAATTAATTATTAATTAATAAATTAATTACTATAGGTAGAAATTTGGGAAAAATTTTCCAATAATTTTTTGTCTTTGTATTGCTAATAATTTAAGACAATTTGATGCACATATGTACTTGTTATTTCATACAAAATTTTTAATTAAACTATTGCGGGTAAATATAAGTTACAATAGTTTTAAAATCAAATTAAATTTTACAGGCTCCTGGCGGAGAGCCTGCAGCTAAAGGGTCACAAACCGGCGTTCTGGATGCTAATGTATACGCCACGAAGAAAACCATAGCACAAGGCTTGCTAGATGTGGCCCTGCTAACAGCAAATGCATCGCAACTCAAATACTTATTGCAAGTTGGAAAAGAGCACGAATTTTATTACGTTATGATGACTCTAATAAGCCTTTCCATTATTTTACAGGTAATACTTTCTTACTGATTTCGTTTACCTGCTCTCTTTGATGTTTTACAAAATACAAAAATGTGTTAAAAATAGAACTGCAGAAATTTTTTTTTTTTTTTACTTTTCACAAAATCTGTTTCTTTTTAAAATATAAATTCGAAATTTTCGCAAAGCAATGGATTGAAATTTTTATTTATAGAATAAAAACAGATTATTTATTAAATTGTATTAATTAACTACGAAATTAACCACTTAAAAATAATTAATACTAACTAGACCAGAATTTGGAAACATTTTAAATTAATTTTCTCTCCTCTTATTATTTGCAATTTTAAAGCAACTTTATACACAAGCGGGTATATTGAAAAAAAACCGTAGGTGTAGATTTGCAAGTCTTTAAGTAGTTAACACGCATTTCCCACATTTAATTTTAACTGCAGTATAATATCTTTATTCTAATTAGTTTAAGATCGGAATGTCATAAATGCCAAAACATTATGTAAATTAAATTAGTTAAGAATGAGCTATCAGTTTAAAATTATATCCAAAAAGTGTCTTCCGTCTACTTCACTAATATATATCCATAAAGTTATTATAGTTCATAGGTCTGAAATAAATATTTGCGAAAAAAACTCGTAAGACTTCATATTAAGTTTCTCATAATATTAATATAAAATAATAGTTAAAATAAATAGCCATCAATAGTAATATAATCTAAAATTTAAAAATAAATAGTTTAATTTAACAAATTTTTTGCGCTTGATATTAAATTACCGTATGCTTCTTCACGACATTAAACTCATTTTGTTTTTATCATCCAGCTATTCCAAATAATTATTATTTTCTCGAATAATTTTAGAATCAAATTAATCAAGGTTATTGATTAAAATCCAGCATATTACCAACTTTGAATTCCCCCTAGCACGAAAGCTTAAGGAAACGAATTGTTATTTAACATTTAATTGTGATAGTGGTTTTGGGTTTTCCAAATAAAGTCCCCCCTCCCTTAAAATGCATATAAATTTGTTTGCTATTCTCTTTTACTTTTTATCAACAATAATATAACTAAATCTAATGTATTTTTCACGGCTTTGGAAATAATACTACTTTCATTTCCCTTTTCCCACCTCCCTTAAACTATGCAATTTCTGTAGCAGAACATATGCAGTCATTTTTTAGGAAAGGCAGTAAGCAATTCAATGCGAATTAAAACATTTGCCAGTGTATAATTAAACATAAACACCCGGACATTCGGGGTGAGCTTTCGTTGTTCTTTCTTCATAGATGTGCCTGGGATCTGTCCTCATCCTCAAGGGCCATTGTGACATCAATGAAGCTTCCCAGCAAGCCAGAGCAGAAAAACTCAACGACGCAGCTGTTTGGATTGTTTTTGCATCAACTGTAGTCCATGCTTTCCTTTCTGTGTTCCACATCAACCCCCCAGAGCAGCTACCTTTCAGCGCCTACTATCTTAATAGCACAAGTCCAACCACGATAAATCCAACAGAAGACTATGATACAGAATCATAGCACATCTTGTAGCAATCAAGAGTATACATCGAGCCAAACTAATTTGCTACAAATTATTTAAGTATATGTGAGCTAATTCATTGTTCACAATTCATGAATGGATAGTTTCAAAGATGTTATTGAATTAATCCGAAGTGTCATGCAACCGTAATTGATTTGCTCGAAGCATAACATTAATCAACAAAGTGCATTGATCCAGAGGTGTTCATTCGTAACAAAAATGATCCAAGATATTGTGCTGTGATATCACGAAGCATTTTGATTGTAAGCGTAAGATGTTATTACAAAATTCATTTTACCTACCTGATTACAGGGGTAAACTTGATATAAAATAACAAGCATTACGTTGTACAGGGTTCATTACAACCTAATGGTGAATTTTTCATATTGTTTTTGTAAAATATCCTACGAAATTATTAAGGGCTGAAAATATTAAGATCTAGTCAACTAATTTAAGCAAAAACTCTTAAAATAACGGTTTAATTAAGATCATGGAATGCCCTCTCATGTCTGTTTTAGAATAAAAGTCGAACTCTTACATAAGTGTGATGGAATCCGTTTCATTCCGTGTAACTCATAAGTGTGGTGGAATCCGTATAATGTTGATTAATTCACTTTTTTCTCACAAATATCAGTGAAAAATTTTGAAATTATCAGTCAATGAACTATCAATACGATGTATGCAGACATATGAATAGTAGACATTATATGATTAGTGGCTGATCATTAAACATCCAATCCAAAACATTTCTCGATAAGTTCGATAAGAAATTTAACTACGAGAACTAAGTCTGTTTATCTTCATCACTTGACAGTTTTAGTGCCATATATTACTTGAGCTACAAAAGCTTTAATTTAAGAAATCTAATTAAGATCTTATATAACAATAGGGTTCAAATGGTATACAAATTCTACCATGCGATATAATTTGACGTCGTGAATCACCATCAAAATATATTACGCAAATTTCGACGCTGAAACATTTATTCAAAACTATAATTGATAATTATGATTGATATGGTGGACTAACTGTATTTGTTTGTGAAATTTATTGTTGGATAAAAACTATCATTCTTATATCATTATTCTTAGATCAACAAAACATGGATTTTTGTTATGATTAAAATTATGATCTTTTCCTTTTTAAAAAATGCATATTTTATAAGTAGATAATACGATATTTCTGCCAAATACTGAATAATTGAATGAACAATTAATAACTAATGAGAACAATGACGCACAAATCTTAACAAATAGTTAAAAATTATTATTTTATGGAAGGTTTGTGTAAACTAAAAACTCCTATGAACATTCAGATCTTCTAACACAAAGTTATATTACATTTCTTGATATTAAAAAGATTTTTTATTGCTGATTGTATACTTTGTTTACCCATTTTCGTCTTGAAGGTGGTAGTTCACCTTTTGTAAAACTTATATTGCATAGATACTTACGCATTATCGCAACCATCTTGGCGCAGTTTGGCGAATTTTAAGGAAGAACAATTACTTTTATTGTAAAAAATTATATATTACATACATATTCTACATTTCAACTATATATTTATCCCAAAATACAATCCGTAAACCTAGTTACAAACGGATTTTTGTTTTTGTAGTAAACGAAATTTCGCAGCGATCGCCTTGAAAAAGAATTCGAAGCATAGTTCCTTTAGAAATTTTGACAATAACATATTCCTGCAGAAATTTCACCTGTGTCTCTCCTATTATAGGAAAATCATACAAGCACAAATTTTAAAATCGAGTATAAGACAAAAATAATTATAACTTTTCTATAAGGAGCCGTTGAAACTCGGAACACAACAAAAACAACGCATACGAAATTGGCGACGTTGGAAAAAAAATATTTGTCATGCGCATGGTTACCTGCGTAATTATTATGTGAGTAATTACCAGACTTTCATATATTCTGAAGATTTGGCAATTTCTAATAAAGGTTGGTTGCGATAATACGTAAGTACCGTTTCATGTTACAGGTGTTGGTTCATCATGGGATTCAGTTGCACAATTTTATTTCAGTATTATCCAAAACTGTTCATATATTAAAATCTTTTGAATTTTAAATAAAGTTTGAATAACGAGTTTATAGTTTTATTTACAATATTAGTTTAAATTTAAGGAAAATATATCCCTCCCCTCAAAAAAAATTGCAAAGCTGCATTGATTTCATCAGTCATAGATTCCAATAGTTATATATAGCATTTTTTACACATGTATAAAATATTTGTTTTAATTCAGTTCAAAGAGTGTATTTTTCTTGAGCCACTGCTGGCGATTTGGATTGAGCTGTTTTAGCCTGCACACACACATATGGAAGTAATCCGAAAGAAAGAAAAAATAAATTAAGGTAATTTCTTGAGGACCGACGCCATATTGTCATTGCAACTTAAAGGTTTCTCTTGGACTTTAAGGATATGAAAAACAAATTATTTTGTTTTTCATATCCTTAAAGTCCAAGAGACCAGAAGAGAGATTTTTGCCATTTAATCAAAGGAACAGCTACCTAACTAGTTTGGTGCTATGTTTACTAACAAGTACAATTTCATCTCTATAGGCAAAATATCATCTATCATTCTTGGCTAGTTTTAAAACAACTAATTTAACAAAAACAATAAGACCGTGTTAAGCCATGCTGCTTGGCACACTGCTTATCTCAGCGCCTATCGGATTTTTGTTAAATACTTGTACTAGTTAAATTTACTCTAGAATTTAAGATTGCATTGTGAAATGGATGCAAATGATAAAAAAAAACTCAAAACGATAATTGGTAATTTACATTTTAGCCTTATAAAATGATCTCACAGAAGAATCTTTAAGTTACAATATCAATTTGGCATCCATTTACACCTCAATAAATATTTCTCTTTTTTTTCCATGCTATTTGTACACAGTTACAATGTATTGTAAATCGTAAATTATTTTATGCATTAAAAGTACACAAATCGATAATACTGCTATTATCCACGCACACGTTCACAGTATATACACGTTTTTGTCCATAAAACATAGATGAGTTACAAAAAAATCTTTATTTTTATATAATGATATTCCAAATAAACTTGTTTGACATTTCATTGTTAATGAATATTGTTATGCCAAATATAAGTTTGAAAAAATGTAACAAAGAAATGCGAAATACATTAATTCTTCATTAGAAACAGAAAATAATATCACTTACATCAAAACACAGTTATTGCTTGTATACAAAATGTAAAGCTCCCGGACAATACTTTCTGGATTTTTAAAAACTAAAAATGTATATATGTATTTAGTTGGATTAGTTACATAAACATAGATCATGAACTTCATAATTATTGGTTAACTTCACAATTATAATTAGCCAGAGGCCTTAAAAACTTTCATTGCTGTAATTTTTACTTTTTGAGATAAGTGTGTAGCATGGATTTTATAAAAAAGAATAAGCTTGGAGAAATAATATTAAAAGATTGTTTCTTAGCATTTCACTTACTTTACCACTGTTTGTTTTTTATTCCTGTATTGATGCTGTCTCTTTTTTCCTCTGTTAATGTTCAATTATTCGTCAACATTAGGTAAGTTTCTATTGCAATACTTTCTTGATGAGTTTAATTTATACAGAGACTGTTGGCACATTTTTAGATGAATTTGCTTCGTTATAAAACAAATCGTCTGCTTTGAAATTCTTTTTTTCAATGGAAACTATATTTTTGAATGCATAAATAATCGTCTGCTACTTGACAGTTCTGTTTTCATGCAAAACGGCGCTTTTAAAGAAACAAGGCTATGTCTGTGCTCTTTCCAAAGAAAATTACTTCTACCTAGTTATTGAAAAACGCTATGAAAGCCATAGTTTTTCAACATCTAAAGCTACGATAGGTAATAATTACAACAAGAAAGAGGAGGAAGTCAAAATTTGGCTTCACGTGTAATGATTATCTAAGTACGTATCCAAGGGAAAAAAGGAATGTTTCAAATGTTGCAGAAGTAAGTTTTTTTTAATGTTAAAAGAAAATTCGCCAAGTCAAAGGACAGTTGCAAAATCCTTTAGCAACTGTAAACAAAGTGGTTAATGCTGATTTGAATATTAAAAGGCTAAAAAAACATATTGTGGATCTTCTTTCTCCACGACATAGAGCCGAACGTAGAACGCGCTGCAGAATTCTTTATGTGAAATATGCATTCGAGTAAAAATGGAAAATGTTCTCACAATAAATTAATCTCGGATGTATTTAAATGACTGTAACAAAAAGAGATCCATTTATTACCATCACAGTGAAGAAAAAAATCTTAAAACATGGTTCAAAGAATCTGAAGAAAGTTTTTTGAAAGGATTTATAAAAAAATTAGAACAAGAAACGTGTACTAAGACTGTACCTTTCACTCATATCCTTACTAAATCTCTTGATGTATCACCCATGGATTTTTGGTCTTTTGGACTTTTAAAAAGGGGACTGATCAGACGTCGACCAAGAACTCTCCTTATGCTTTATAAAGCTGTTCAAGAGAAATAGGATAAAACTTCTCTTCCAACGGTACAAAATGCCTCATTGTCTTGGAAATCACGATGTAGAAAGAGAAGTAAGAATAAGGGTTATCAAATAGAACACTTAAAACACAAAAATTATAGGCCAAATATTTCTGTAAATACAATGAAAGTCGTTTAAAAAATGTGCGAACAGCCTTTACATGCATGTCATACAAGATCTACATTTTTAATCACTAAAGAATTTGATAAAGATTATGTTTTAAATCTATAGGAGTAGTTTATGCACATTTATCTTTTCAATAGTAATTTAATTTGCCTACAAAGAACGTTGTGGAAAAGAATGAGACAAATTACATATTTTTTAAAGGTTAACGCTATAATTCAATAAAATAAAAATATTATTCAATAAGTTCATTTTTGATATCCAAATTTAAATTTCTATGTGAAATCTATGTGAAATCTTTTTAGCCTGTCATGCCAAGATTTGCTTTATATCTTGTCACACACACCTGCACAGTTTCTTTAGAAATTCATTTCAGAAATCGAAGTTAAATCCCTTTGAATTGTGCAGATTTAGTCTTCTTTTTTTTTTTCATTGAAATATATTGCTTTTAATAAGAGTCTCAAATCTTTCGACAACGTTTGATTTAGGTATAGGGTGTCTTATACGATTTAGACACAAAATTACATTTTGGCTATTTCAATAGTTGGTAACATCTAGTGTATTTTGACTGATAGCTAGGTCGGATAAAACAAAATAGCTACATTTTGATTGCATTGTTTGATTAAAGTAGTGTTTCTAAAATTTTTTAGAATATCATGCGGACCCTCTTTCTCTAGTTCCTTTCAAGAGCAATTTTTTTAGCATATGTTATTCCCAGATATTTTTGAAATACTGTTAATTAAAAGTAATTCAAATTTATGTCGTTATTAAGTAATTAAGTTAACAGAATAAAATTTGGATATTTTTTTATTCATTCAAGATCATTAGTGTGTGTGTGTGATTATGGCAAAGCCTCGAGGGCTATCTGCCTAAGAGGAGGGATGCCTTCGTGGAGGACTTTCTAAGGGAAACTGGCTCGTATACACGTTACACATGGGGAAAACCACGAAAACGCCCATGCAGCCAGCCCGTTCGCGGGATTCGAACCTCGGACCGAACTACCAGTGTTCAGCGATTTTACCGCTCGGCCGCTGGTGGGCCTCAAGATCATTAGAGATTGGGTAGTCTTATTAGCTAAATATAAATAAATGATGTCTCACATTAATGAGATGGATGAAACTGCTGATTCTTGCATAGTTGTTCTATGTTTGGATGTGCGCTAAAAAGAAGCTCAGTCATAGTGATTAAAGTTCGTCTTTTATCGCGAAGACCAGAGATGATGTCCGTAGGTAGGATAGGTGGTTATAAGTTTTATAAAATGTCAATCTTGGGGGGGGGGAAGATAGACGATTGGCCCTATGTCATTTCCAAATTCTGAGATTGTACTGTACAGTGTGGATGTATAGCAGTGCTGGGGAAACCTCTGACTTGATATTTGGGTGACACTCGTTTCCAGAGCCATCAATGAAAACGAAACTTGCATAATACGAAATTATTTGCCTCTTCCAACGGCCTCATCTTTGTCAACATGTATGTCACTTACCTCAAGTACATTCGACTGCGTTCTTGGCAGACAGATGCACTCGATCGCTGTGTTCGTTAAGTGCTTTTGAATGCTTGGAACAGATTACTTAACATTTTTAACTACGTAAAAAAATCTAGCAATGGCTTTACTAACAATTTTTCCATCAATATATTTTTGTGAAATTTTGTTCTCAAATTAAATAATATTAATACAAATATATCAAACCGGCTGACAGATCAAGTGAGTAAAGCTTGGGGCTTTGGAGTGCACAAAATATAAACCTTCAATTGAAAAATTTATCAAATTTCAGACACCAAAAAATCACAAACCTAATAAATAATATGCGTTTCGCTTTATATATATATATAAATCTACCTTTCCATTTTCTACAGAGCGCTTATTTATTTTCTGTGTTCTCTTACGATTTGATTATCATTGTTTATATTATTGATTTTTTAATATAAACTAAGTATTAAAATAAAAAATAAAAAAAATATCAGATGCAGAACGTTTTTTCCAATAAGGTTGCCCAATACAGTCCAAGAAGTTACGAATATTTTTATATGTGATACGGAACGAGAGTTAAGCTAGGTTTTTTTTTTTTTTTTTTTTTTTTTTTTTTTTTTTTTTTTTCTAATTTTGTCGAGTTCAAAAAATTCTCCATCATTGCTCTATAGTGTGTGGATATAGTGTTTCATCTACAATTTGCAATTAATTTGAATTTTACGTTTTACCATTTCTGAAAATCTAAGAAGATCACAAGGTAGGCTTCGAGGATGACTTATGGTCGTGAATCACAGATTGAGAAACAGTGGATTAAAGGAATAAAACATTTTTAATGCACTTATTTGAATAAATGGATTTATTTACAGTTCCCTGAAAAACGATTGGTCTGGAAATATCGCCGTCTTCATGGCATGCCACACCATTAATTCTTTTTCCCCTTGCGAATTTTTCTTTTTCAAAAATTAGGATTAATTTGGATGTAGACAGTAACAGAGTTAATGAATTTGAAATCATTTACCGTTCGGTGAAAAAAGACCATTTAGAAAAAATATTTTCTTTCCCTATAGCATGCCATACCATTAGTTTTCTTGCGAATTTTTCTGTAGGGTTTATTATGAAGTACACAGTAACACAGCTAGGAATTATTAAATGATAATATACTCTCTAACTGTGCTCCTATGAGCCAGTGCAACTATAAGATTCAAATCAAGCATTAAAAACTTTTCGCTAAAGAGTTTCATCCCATTTTCGAATGGCACATTTTAGGCTATCAATTTTGTTTGATTTCCTTAGTCTTTTCATGTATTTTAGATTTATCTTTTTTGTATAAGATTTTTAAGCCTAAATCTTCCTTAATTTGGTGAGCAGTTAGTTTTGACACATTCAGCTTTGAGCCAGAAATGTCAGTTTTTCCAACTAGCTTTACTTTAATCATTTCCATGATCTGTTTGCTTACTTTGTGCATCAGCTTTCCAAAATATTGATTAAGAGCAACATTTTTTTGCTCTTTATTCTGCTTTAAACCTCTGCAAGTCTTTGCTTTTGGTATTTGGTTGTTTTTATAAATTTTAATTGCAGCTGTTTTGCGTCTTTTACACTCCCAATTATAAATCTTTACTATTTTCTTCTAAATTCTCACACATCAGAATATGTTTTTAACCATTATATTTGTAATTAATTCGAAATAGAGCAAATGCATTTTATGTATGTAAGTTAATTAAAATTATTAAATCTTCTATATAAATAAGTTAACCAAAGTAAACAATTCAACAAAAGTAATTATTTTTCTAAAGATAGCGAAATCTAGTTCCTGGTTAATTAAATCAACATTCTTAAATATATATTATTTTTAAGATTCCCAAAATATGAAATTTACTTCTAAGTGTTCCGATATATCTATTTTATTTAGGAAAATCTTGAACAGGTTTAGCTAGAAATGGACAAGACACAAGAAAATAACAATTGACTGTACAAGTATAGTCCCGCCACAACTGTGCAGTTACGCCCCAGTTCTAACGGAGAACATCCTGAAGCATGTTCAAACTACTGCTATTGCTAGCACTCCTCAGAGCCTAGAGGAATTAAATACGCAATGTTATACTGGTATTTAAAATGATTCTGTTCTGCATAGATGGAATCAGTTAATAAAAACGAACAATACAAACCTACTTTTTAAGAGGAAATTTTAAATATTTTAAAATGTCAACACTCTTCCTTCACCATCATCCTCTCGAGAAGACTTTTGGCTCGCCGTGTATTTTGAGCGCTTCTTTACCGCAGAGATACTATGCGCTTACAAACATCCCTGCCTTCTCCGGAATTCAAGCACCGACCTGCATAGAGGGAATCAGTATATGAAAAAGAACAATACAAACCTACTTTTTGAGAGAAAATTTTAAATATTTTAAAATCATAGGGAAAGTATAACCACAGATTATTCTGTGGCATCGGTGAATTCAAAAATCATTTCTCCATGCTGCTGATATTGGTTTAATTTTTAGTCTAATAAATATGAAATTTTTTCATTAAAAATTAAGAGAGATGGATCTTCCACATCTGAAAGATAAATTTTCTCATGTAACCATAGTTTCGTCGGTTATAGGAAAGCACGCAAAGCCAGTCATTTTCATGAACCATTGCTTTTGAAAGGCTCTGCGTGGAACCACATATTATTCAAATTCCACGGAAAAAATATTCATTAAATGTTCGTACAATCATTTTAAGAGTATAATTAATATATATGGTGACGCAAAAACCTCCAAAAGTGTTTTTGGAGTTAGGACTAAGCTTTTTTGCACGCAATAACAATAAAATAAAAGCGTAATATCGATTTAAAAAAAAAAAGAAATGATGATGACAGAAAAGGCTGTAATGATCTTTTTCCTGCTCCGAATAAGCTAAATTCCATTGCGCAGAGTAAACCATTAT